CTCTCTCTCTCTCAATGGGATCTCATGTAGCCCCAGGCAGACCTTGAACTTGATGTGTGGCTGAGGATAACTTTTAACTTCTGATCTTCCACACCCAGTTTGTGCTAAGCTGATGATCCAACCCAGGGCTTCATGCAAACATTCTACCAGCTGAGCTACATCCCCAGCTCTGCATCTTTATTGCACTTCCTTTATAACTAACACAGCTTTTATTTCTAGATATCACACTTCAGCAGTTGTCAGTTTTTTTCAGTGACCTGGATAGATTCCGTATAGAAAGCTGGGGCAAGAGTTTAACACAAATGATGGTGCTTTCCTCCTTCCCTCCCCTCCCCTCCCCTCCCTCTTTCCTTTGCCTTAGTTAAAAGGTTTCTGTTTTCAATTGATTTTATGGTGGCAAGATCTGTTTGAAGCCCTTTTAATGTGTTCATTCCTTTGACTTTATGAAAGATACCAGTGGTCCACAGACATAGAAGCACCCACTCCTTTATTTCTAAAAATGAACATGTGTGAGTCCCCACACACAGAGAAGAAAATATGCTTCCCTGATAATTGGGCTCAGTAGGAGCCACAAAGCATTCTGTCATGTTCGCTGCTGTCCAGTGGCGTTTTAGATTCTACTTCTTAAATAAATCGTGTCCTGAAATGCATTGTGTAATTTCAGAAATGATTAGAGTGGCATTAAGTGGGAAGAAGAGAGTGTGCTAGAAGTTTAAGAAATTCTTTTTCCTTTTCCTATGCTTGATTGTACGGTGGCAGAATGTACAGGACTAAAATAATTAAATTTTTTTTTTCCTCTAAGTAAAATAGGCACACATGGGTTACTTACCCATTGCTTGGCTGTTACCTCAGGAACATGTGTTTATTAGCTTGTTGCCCTGGTATTCAAGGTGAGGGTGAGGTAGGGGATGTTTACCTTCTCTGCTGCCTTCCTTGAATAGACTAAATTCCACAGGGGCCATTGTGACATAATGGAAAAGCAGCATAGTGGCAGAACGTGAATTTCATATCTGCCTCTTAGGAGCTGTATGATACACCCCATTTCAAAGGAGTTCAGATGGCTGTGTAGCACTCAGTGTTGGTGGAATTTGAATTAAACTTATATGAGGTGCATTTTACTGTGTGCCTATGGTGTCTACAAATAGACAATTCTTACCTAGAAATGCTCTTCAGTACTTTTTAATCCCTTTCCAACAGTAGTTTTTGTGATTCTGATAGTCTGTGTTCTGTTCTGCTTTAGCACCAGCCCTTAAGGCTAACGTGGACACATGAGGGGAAGGGAAGGTTGTTGGTGCATTTTCATGTCTCCTTTCTCAGCAGTGGCAAGAATCCAGCATCAGCCTTGCTGAAATAGTCTTTGTAGAAGCATCTGTTGAGAAAAAATACATCGCCACAGCATCACTAGAATAGCTGATTGTTGATTTCATCTTTTCAGGTGATCTCTGTAGAAAGTTTTCAAGGGGCAGAGGTGCATATATGCTGTGGGTTGTTCAACATGTGATAACATTCATCACTAATGCTGACATCAAACTTAAGTGGCTTAGAGTGAAGGCTGGGATAGCAAACTGCTCAAAGCTAGTGAGTGGGAATGAACTTGTGTCGTTGCAGGATGTGGTGAGGAGGCTGAGGGGGCTATGGTGCCAGGAGTTCCCTGTTCCTCTCCTGTGGAGTCCTCACCCTCAGCAGGCATCTTATTCTTTTTTTTTTGAGACACGGTCTTCCTTGTAGCACCAGCTAGCCTGGAACTTGCTATGTAGACCAGGCTGGTCTTGATCTCACAGAAATCTACCTGCCTCTACTGCTTGAATACTGAGATTAAAGGTGTGTGCCACCAGGCCCAGCCCCTTTTCTGTTAAGGCTGAGGCAGAGTATCTTCCTAAATCATATCTCCCCCATAAAAAAGCTTCCTGAAAGGCTCTGAAGTACAGAGATAGAATGTCATGTAAGAGTCTGGGCCTTTAGGTTAAATGAATATCTGTTAAAACACATACTTGCCAAGCATGGTGGTACATACCTGTAACTCCAGCCACCCAGAGGGTGGTGGTCAGAGAATCATGAATGCGAGGCTAGCCTGAATTACATAGGGCTCTTCAAAAAAAAAAAAAAGTTTGGGGCTGGAGAGATGGCTTAGTGGTTATGAGCACTGGCTGCTCTTGCAGAGACCCAGGTTCAGTTCCTAGCACCCATATGGTGGCTAACAGGTGCCTGTAACTCCAGTTCCTGGAGATCTTCTGCCCTCTTCTGATCTCTGTGGGCACTGCATGCACATGGTGCAATTACATACATGCAGGCAAAACACTCATATACATAAAATAAAAATAAAATTTAAAAATTAAAAAAAAAATAGCAAAGCTTGCTAGGTGTGGTAGCACATGCCTATAATCCCAGATCTAATGAGGCAGAGGGCACTGCATTCTTAGTTCAAGGCCAGCTTAAACTACATAGCAAGACCCTGTCTAAAAAAAAAATTCAAGGGCCTGGAGAGATGACTCAGTGGTTACGAGCACTGACTGCTCTTGCAAAGGACCCAAGTTCGATTCCTGCACCCACATGGCAGCTAACAACAATGTGTAACTCCAGTTCCGGGGGATCCAACACTCTCTTCTGACCTCGCTGGCATTGCACGACACAGGTGCAGTTACCTACATGCAGGGAATACACGCATATACATAATAAATAAAATATTTTTTAAAAAATTCAAGGGCTATGAATATAGCTCAATGGTAGGTAGTGCTTACCTAACATATAAAAGGGCCTGGAAGGGAGGAGTTTTCCAGAAACATGGTCATTTACTCAGATGAACTTACAGCAATAGTGATAACATGCACAAGTTCCACTTAAGCTCAAGCCAGACAGAATCCCAGCACAGACATGGGGAGATGGGTAAGAAACCCCAGCCCCACCTGAGGAACTATTGGCATCTGATGGCTGCTGGGAAGGGGAGATTCAGTCTCATTTAACGGTGAGACTCTTGGTAAGTTGACCAGGCTCCAGTGAATGGATGAACTCACACTGAAGGACAATAGGCATACACACACATACATACATACACACACACACACATACACACACACATGAAATTTGGTGGTGGGGTAGTAAGGGCGGGGTGTAAATAGGGGAGAGGATCTAAATATGATCAAAATATATTGTATGGAATTTTCAAAATTCAGTGAAAAGGGGGAAAAAAACCAAAAAAAGTAATAAAATGAAATTTTTTAGCTTTAAATGCAGAATTTCCCATATAAGTAAAAACCAGCTGTTTAAGTCCCAAGGAAAGGGAAGACAGTTTAATAGCACTCCACAAATGGGGAAAATGACTCAGTGATTTTGTTGTCTGCAAGTTCAAGTCAGGTTTGCATAGCATACTAGATGCTGCTATGCACTGGTGCTGTATTCCTGGACGTATGTGATTCACTAGGGAATCAGTGAAGACAAGATGATCAGGGAACTGGCAGTGTGGCTATATGAAAAATGGTGGAATGAATTAGGAGGTTTTGGTCCTTGAATATTTGTTTCATATGACAGAAATGTTAGGCTTTTCGGAAGAAAAGTCCCAAGGTTCTGACTAGTACATGGAAGGTATGTATAGGGAGGTGTCATTAGACTGTTCTCAAGTAATCTGGCTGCCTAAGAAGGAAATGAAACCCAGGGCTGTTGGAGAACCAGACTCTTGTCTCCATGTGCTAAAGATGGCTCAGAGCATAGTAGGGTCAGAACATCAGATGTTACTCATTGGGAAATTGGAACATGGCTGCATTTAGAAGGCAGATGAGGAAAGAGCATCTTTCTAGCAGAGAAAAACGGCACATAGGAATACAGAATAAAATGGACTGGGCATATTTAAACTATTGATTTATTGACTAAGACAGTTGATTTATTGACTAAGAAGGACATAAATTGAATATGGCCTATGGTCAAGAGAGATTGGCCTAAAGAAATCTAGGGTAGTTTATAACTCTATATAACTCACATTGTAAGGTACCATTTATTTTTTCCTATGTGTTGAGCAATATTAAACCAGTATGTCACCCAAATCTTGGCTTATTTGCAGCACTGACTTGAGCATGAAGAAACCAATAGTCACCTCTTTCATTCTTTCCTAAAAATGTCAACCTCAGGGCTAGAGAGATGGCTCAGTGATTAAGGCTACTGGCCACTCTTGCAGAGGACTCAGTTTCTGTTCCCAGCACCCCCATGACAGCTAACAACTGTCGCAACCCCTGGTCCAGGGGATCTAATGCCCTGTTCTGGCCTCTATAGGCATTGTACAACATGGATATACTTCCATACATGTAGGCAAAATACTCATACACATAAAATAAATACAGTTTTTAAAAAGATAATAGAGGACTGGGTGTGGTGGTGCATGCTTTTAATCCAAGCACTTGGGAAGCAGAGGCAGGCGGATTGCTTCGAGTTCAAGGCCAGCCTAGCCTACATAGTTCCAGGCCAACTGGGGCTACAGGGAGACCCTGTCTCAAAAAAAAAGTGATAGTGATAAAAGACACCTGATGTTTATCTCTGGCCTCCACATATATGCACAGGAGAGTGCACATGCATACACACACACACACACACACACACACACACACACACCACAACTTGAGAAAAAAATGCAGAGTGCTCTGAATTTAGTTCAAATACGAAGACTGGGGATCACACACACTCCAGGAGGCAGTGGAAAGATGTGTGCCTACTTGAAGTCTCTGGGGAGGCAGGGGAGACCTCTTAAGTCAATGGGAATTGGATTGAACAAGCAAACTAGATCTAAATCTGTTACTGGTGTCAAAGGAGAGAGACCAAGGTTTTCTTCTCAGTCTGCCCAGATATGAAGCAGAAGGTAAGGAGGGAGTACTGAGCTTAAAAGCTTTTAATTAGACATCTGAAATGGAAGTCAGGTTCTTCTTTGCAGTCTACAGTCAGAAGTCATTTCCCCAGAGCCTTTCAAGGAACTAGTGTGAATAATATGTTCTACCACAAGTATGTCTGTTGTCTATGTATGTGGGTCCTAGCTGGCTAAAAAGAGGTGCCCTTTGGCTTTGTCCCTTAAGCTTCTGTCCAAACCTCATTACTTGTGCATAACCAGGTGCTGCCTTCCATTGAGAGTGTGGATGGTTCCGACCCTCTGGAAACTCTGCAGAACCCAATTGCCAGACTGGAGGCAAAAGAAGAAGAAGATGAGGATGAGGATGAAGATACAGAAGAAGAAGAGGAAGAAGATGTTGAAGACACAGACTTGGATGACTGGGAGCCAGACCCACCCCGGCCTTTTGACCCCCATGATTTATGTAAGTGCAGGCACTGGACTCTCAGAGGAAGATGTAGGCTTTCTCATGAGTGTGTGAGTGTAGTCATGGGCACTGAGACTGTCCACCCTACGCACTATGGCTTGTGTTCTACATGCATCATCGCCTATAGTCTTCCCAGAACCACTGGGAGGGAGGCCATGAGCCTAGTGTTTGTTCTTTGATTTTACTGATGAAAAGTCTGAAACTCAGAAGAGTTAGGCACTTGCCCAGGGTCAGGCGAGTGAGATACCAGGTATCTACATTGAGACTGCTACCAAACCCGTTTAATGAGTTGGCCCAGGTACAGAGTCTTTGGCCATTTTAGCAAATAATAAGTGCATTTTTCTGCTTTGTCTTTTCTGTTTTGGCTTTTTGAGACAGGGTCTCCCTGTAGCCCTAGCTGGCTTGGAACTCACTATGTAGACTAGTAGACTAGGCTGGCCTTGGACTCACATAGATCTGCCTGCCTCTGCTTCCGTAGTGCTGGGACTAAAGGCATGAGCCACCACACATGGCTTTCCTGCTTTATCTCTTAAAGAATACTTATTCTAGGGGCTGGAGAGGTGGCTCAGCAGATAAGAACACTGGTTGTTCTTACAGAAGACCTGAGTTTAAATCCCAGCACCCACATGGTAGCTAACAACTGTCCATAACTCCAGTTCCAGGGGATCCGATGGCCTTTTCTGTCTTCCGCGGGCATTGCATGACGTGGGTGCAGTTACCTACATGCAGGCAATACATGCATACACATAAAATAAAAATAATAAATAAAATATTAAAAGAGAATACTTATTCTATCCCAGGCACTGGAGCACCAAACTTGCATGTTTGATGTACCCTAGTCTTCCCAGACCTGTTTCTCAAAGTCATACTGTTGTCTTGAGGCCTGAACTCTAGTCCTGTCTAATTCAGACAGGACTGGCCCCACCCCCATTGTCCTTATGTCCTACCTGCTCAGGCTTCTGTATCTACCTACCAAATCATTCTGTTTATTTTCATGCTCCTGTGGCAAAGACTCATCTCATTTACTGGAGTAACCAAAGGCTGTTGAGAATTTATGGCTTTGCACTGTCCTCACAGGACTTCTCTGTGGTTGATATTGGTAAAATTTGTCCGAGTGGGGCCATTACTCAGCCCACATCTAATCCCTGTGCAACAATGAACTTCATATTATTTTTCCTTGAATTCTTAAATTTCTAAGGCAACTGCTTAATCAAATGCAATGAAATCCACTTTATCTTAAAAATATTAATGTAAAGTCATTCTCTATTATTTGAGAGTTGTAGAAACTGAAAATACCCAAACCAGGTCAATACATAGCCAGAGGGGTGGAACGTGATAAGCATGAACTCTGTTTGGCCTGGTTTCTTGTCCAGGATTTGTATCCCCAAGTATTCTCTTCTGGGCAGTCAATTTACAGATGGGCTCTTCTGGCAAAGGATGTGAGTGTGCCTAGCTTGAGGCAAATGGAGACTTCCAGAATGAGCTGAAAATGTCTGTCTCACTAAAGCCAGGCTAATGGTACTGCCCAGTAAATAAACAAGGAGACCCAGAAGTAACTAATTTAGCTTCCTCAGACAAGTCAGCAGTGCAGCCTGATGTGAACAGATAGCACTCTGCCTGTGATTGCCCCTGTTAAGGCTTCTGTGATTCCCCAGGAGTAAATGGCTTGAACAGTATTGTCAGGTTTTTTTGTTTGTTTGTTTTTGTTTTTTTCTCTCCTAGTAGCTTTATTGAGATAGTTTTGTAACATTTAACCAATAATCTCTTCTTTTTTTCTTAAAATTGATTTGTAAATTTTGTGTTCACTTCAAATTACTGTCCAGCAGAGAGACGAGTCATAGTTTAGGTGTTAACTGTTAGCAGGTAGAAGTGAATTCAGTCTGATTTTAGAGGAAATTGTAGTATTCTTACTGGTCTATGAAAGGTAATGATTTACAGTAGAATAGCAGTGCCCTTGTAGAAGTTGACTAGATTTTTTTCCCCGAAAACTTAGGTTTGGGGATTTTTAAGGTTAGAATTTGTTTTTATCTGGGATCAAGTAATTTGAGGCATTTGACTTTTCTTCAAACTTTCCTTTTCTTAATAGGGTGTGAGGAATGTAACAATGCACATTCTTCCGTGTGCCCGAAGCATGGCCCCTTGCATCCGATTCCCAACCGGCCTGTGCTCACCCGGGCGAGAGCGAGTCTGCCCCTGGTCCTCTATATAGACAGGTTCCTAGGAGGAGTATTCTCTAAGAGACGAATTCCCAAGCGTACCCAGTTTGGTCCTGTGGAGGGACCTCTGGTCAGGGGGTCGGAGCTGAAAGACTGCTACATTCATCTAAAGGTATCTTAGGTGGTTTTCTTCTTTACTTGTTCTGTTAAGACTCAAGAAACATTCATTTTCCACCAAGTCTCTTCTTTCCATCACATAGCAATTGTTTGCTAGAAGGTTTTTTTTTTTTTTTCTGCATGTTTAATTTGATTATATGGAAACTTATTTTCTGTCCTCAATAAACTAGAGATGGTAATTAATGCTAGATGCTTAAGGCTTTGTATAAATGATTTGGAGATATGTATTTCTTGGAATTTCTAGTAGTATATTAGGACTATCATAATGAACACCACAGATTGCTGGGGAGATGGTCCAGTGGATAAAGCACTTATCATGCAAGTACAGAGTTCAGATACCCAGCACTTACATAAAAAGCTTGTCAGGTATGGTGATCCACCTATAATCCCAGCAATCCAAAGGTGGAAATGGTATCCCTCAGGTACACTGGCTAGCTTTACCAGCAGAATCAATGAGCTGTGGGTTCAATTGGAGACCCTGTCTCAGTAAATAAAATGGAGAGCTGTTGAAAAAGATACCCAACTTCTGACCTCCACATGTACATTCACATACACGTTCATCTACACACATGCACCTGCATACATGTAAACATGCATATGCATACCACACACACATATATGTTCTAATATACAAATAAATAAAACACCATTTGCTGGGTGGCTTAAAGAATGGAAATTTATTTCTTACAGTTCTGGAGGCTGCCAGGCCATGCTCAAGGGGTTGACAGGACTGGTTTCTTCTGCAGTCTCTTACCTTGACTTACAGATGACTGTTACCTTGATGTGTCCTCACAGGGTCTTCTCCCTGTGTTTGTTTTCATATCCCCTCTTCTAATGGAGATTATAAACTGCCTGAATGATGCCATGTTAATTTAATCACTTCATTAAAGGTCTTAACTCCAGTGCAGTCACATTCTGAAGAATTGGGGTTAATAGAGTTTCCATATGAATTTAAGGACATAAGATTAAGCCCGTAATAGAGGCACTCTTTCTTTCTCTTTTACAAAATGACTTGAGAGCGCTGGGGATGTAGCTTACTTGGTAGAGTGCTTGTTTAATCTGTGTGCCCCAGTACTCAAGGGACACATAGAGGAGGATCAGGGGTTCATTGTCATCCTTGGTTGCATAGTAAGTTTGAAGCCAGTATGGGCTACATGAGACCTTGTCCAGAAAAAAATTACTTTAGTGCTGGGTGTGATGGCACACACCTGTGATCTCAGCACTTGTGATGCTGAGGGCGAAGTAAGAGTTTATGAGTTTGAGGCCAGCCTGGGCTACCTGTCCAGATTCTGTGTTAAGAAAGGAAGGAAGGAAGAAAGGAAGGAAGGAAGGAAGGAAGGAAGGAAGGAAGGAAGGCAGGCAAGCTGGGCATAGTGGTGCATGCTTTTAATCCCAGCACCCAGGATGCAGAGGCAGGTGGATCTCTGTTGAATTTAAGGCTGGCCTGGTCTACATAGTGAGTTCCAGGCCATCTGGGGTTACAGGGATACCCTGTCTCAAAAGACTTTCTTTTAACTGGAATACAGAGAAAAACTCTGTAGATATTTGTAATCTGCTCTGTGCCAGTAATGAAGTAATGGTTACAAGAAACCACTTTCCAATCTTGAAACCGGTCTGACCCTGTGTTAATTACTTCTCTGTTGCTCTGATAAAACACCATGACCAAGGTAACTTAGAAGGAAGTGTTTATTGGGCTTATGGTTCCAGAGGGATAAGAGTCCATCATGGTGGGGAGGCATGTCAGGAGGCAGCTAGAGCAGAAAGCTGAGTGTTCACATCTTCAAGCAGGCACAGGAAGCAGAGACAAACTAGAAATGGGAGAAGACTGTCACTCTCAAAGTCTGCCCTGAGTGATGAGCTTCCTCTAGCAAGGCCTCCCCTCCTAAATCTCTGTAAACAGTGCCACCAACTAGGGACAAAATGTTTAAATCTTGGAGCCTATGAGGGACATTCTCATTCAAAGCACTATAGACCTGTTAAATTTTTTGACTTAAAGAATAATTCATTGTGGGGCTAGAGAGATGGCTCAGCAGTTAAGAGCACTTGATCTCTTGTGAAGAACCTGGATTCGATTCCTAGCACTCACCTAACCTAACAACCATCCTTAACTCCAGTTCCAGGTGATCTGACACCCTCTTCTGGTGTCCATAGACACTGCATGCATACAGTACACTTGCAGGCAAAACACTTATGCTTATAAAATTAAAAAATAAATAAAGAACAGTTCATCATATATTGATACAAATTTCTTGCATGTGCCTTTCTTCACATTTGATGCTCTTGCTTCCATCTAGTTCTCTTTGCTTTTTGAATAACCACCTTGGAGAGCTATGAAGGGCAGTGGGAGGAGGTGCTTATTTGGGGTGTATTTTTGAGACATTATCTGCCGTCATGGGAGGTTTCTCTGATTTGTCTTCAAGATATCTAAGGAGCATTTCTGCTCATTTATAGCATTTTTTGTTGTGTTAGTTTTGTGAAATATTAACTAAAACTATACAATTAGAACATGAACTTGTGTGAATTTGCCTGGTAATTCTACAGGTGAGGCATCAGGAAATATTTTTTTCCCTTTATGTTTGGCAGGTCACAATTCAGGTACCTTTCCAAGTATTAAAGGAAGACAGCTGGGGGTGAGGGGACTTAGCCTATGGAACTATTTTATAGATGAAAGTGTATCCTGCTGAAGGTTTTATTTGTTATTTTGGGGGTTGCTTTTTATCTTCTCTTTGATTGCAGGTTTCTCTTGATAAAGGGGACAGAAAAGACAGAGATTTGCATGAAGACCTGTGGTTCGAGTTGTCTGATGAGACCCTTTGTAACTGGATGATGTTTGTGCGCCCAGCCCAGAACCACCTAGAGCAGAACCTGGTAGCTTACCAGTATGGCCACCATGTGTATTACACAACAATAAAGAACGTGGAGCCCAAGCAGGAGCTGAAGGTACAGAATGGGTGCCACAGTGCCTGCTGCTAGCAAGAGTGATTGCTTGGGGGCTTTACCCACACAAGGGTCCTTTCCTCGTAATTCATTTCTTATTGAGCAGCTTTAACCTTCTAATTGGTTCAGGACCTCTTTGTCTCACAGATAGAAAAATTCATGGATGCTCAAATTCCTTCTGTAAGATGGAGTAGTATATACATAGAACCTATGTATACCCTCCCATGTATTTCAGATCATCTCTAGATTATTTATGATCACGGCTATAATAGAAACACTTTGCAAATGATTGTTACACTCAAAGTTTAGATAATCGTGACAAGCAGCATCTTTACTTCAGTACAGATGATGGTTTTTAATGAATATTTTCATTCTGAGGTTGATGGAACACATGGATAGGCAGGGCTGACTGTACTATGCACTGTGAATTTAATAACCCTGTCAATGAAACAGAATGAGAAACAGGTCCCTTCTGTTTCCAGTGAGGCCTACACAGAGGCCTGAGTTCAAGGGTAAGACGCTAACTATGCTGGGGAGCAGATTGGCATTAGTGATGGGGTGACTGCAGTCATCAATGTCACTTGTATATACTAAGGGAGTTTTTATTTATTTATTTTTTTAATAAAGTGCAGTTCAGATGTATGACCAAGATTCCTTATATTTATCTAAAGACTTCCTTTTTTTTTTTTTTTTTCAAAGAATTTTATGTGCTGACCTCAGATTTCAGAAATAATTTGGGGAGATAACTGCTAGAATTTATTAATTCAATGACATAATAAAAATTTTGCTCTGATTCTATATGTGAGTAAAATTCTCGTCTTTTTCCTCTCCGCTCTTGGGATTGAATTTGGGTACTTGTACATGATAGGTGAGCAGTTACCCACTGAGCTATAACCCCAGTCTATAGAGTTTTTCTGTACAGCCCAGGCTGGCCTTGAAATTTAAATGTCTCAGGTTCAGTCTCCCTGGTACTGGTATTCTAGGCATATGCCACCATGCTCAACTAACTCCAATACTTTTGATAGTGTGTTTGGAGACAGGACCTTATGTAGCTGAGGCTTGCCTCCAACTTGCTGTGTAGCTAAGAGTGACCTTATCTTCCTGGTATCCTGCCTCTACCTCCCAACTTCAAGGATTACATGTGTATACCATGATGTCCAGGTTCTAATCCAATTTTTAAAAAGTTTTTTTTTTTTTTTAATTTTATTTTATGCCCATCCACAGATGCCTGAAGAAGGCATCAGATCACCTGGAACAGGAGCTACAGGTGACTGTGGGCCACTCAGTGTGGGTGCTGTGAATAAGCCCTGGGTCCTCTGTTAGAGCATCAAGTGCTCTTAACCACTAAGCCATCTCTTCAGCCCCTCCAATACATTTTTATTAATAATAATAATAATAATAATTAAAAAAAACTGAAGTGAATACTTCTTTATTAGAGAGAGGTATTCTCTGTCTCTGTCTCTCTTTCATCCTGTGTGCTAGGGAGAGAACCACTGAGTTACATCCCTGCATCTGTTTTCTCTTTGAGAAGAGCAAATAGAACTATAGGGATAATGATGGACAGAAACACATAAGAATATAATAGCTCAATATAGTAAACAGCCATGGCTGGGGACCCTGGCTCAGAGGTAGAGTACTTGCTTCACATGTACAGTACTCTGTGTTTGATACCTAGCACTATAAAAACAAAACTAAGCCTGCTGTGGTGGTACGTGCTTTTAATCCTAGCACTTGGGAGGCAAAAGCAGGTAAAAGTGTGAATTTGAGGCCAGCCCAATCTACATAGCAAGTTCCAGGGCATCCAGGGTTACATACTAAGACCCTGAATCAAAAAAGGAAACAAAACAAAACTTCTAAACAAACAAAAACAGATTTTTAAAAAAAGAAACAATAGAAGAGGTATTTGTAACACAGTCTAAATGTTTAAATATGAAAACAGAAAGTTTTTTTCCCCAATATTTATTTATAAAGAGAGGACAGGGAAAAAGTGATAACACAAATATTTACATCCGAGGAATGGTATTATTCAAGAGTTATTTGTACTATTCTTAGAAATTTTCTGTCAAACTGTCAAAATAGGACATCTATAAAAAATAATTGAAAAATATCAACAACTTACAACTCACTGAATGAAGAACCATTGAACAATACTGACACCAGTAAATGAATGTATTGTAAATTTGATGAGAAATAGATATTTACATCATCACAAATTACCTCCTCATAAAACAATTAAAAAGTCAAAGAAACATTATGGGGGAAAACTTGGGAGGCAACACCTTTGTGATCAATATCAATAGATAATAATGGGAAAAATAGATCATTGATTATATAAGATAAAATGAGAAAAATCACTCCATGATACTCTTGCCAAGCAATGCATGATTTAATCATAATGAAATAACAGAAAAATTCAATCAAGAGACACTGTGCATGAATTTTACTTAAAATATTTAAGGTAGTGAAAGTCAAGGAAAGACTGTGGAATGTTTCAGACTAAGGGAGTCTAAGAAATACAGGTAAATGGAATCCATCAACCTGAATGGGATCCATTGCTTTAAAGCACACCATAAACACTTAGCAAAACTTGCAAAGAATCTGAGGATTAATGACTGATGCATTTGTGTTAGCTTTCTGATTACAAAGGCTATACTACAGTTACTTAGAATGGTATTAAGAAATACTAAAATAGTCAAGGACAATGGCATATGTCAGCAACTACTCTCAAATGGTTCGGTGTGCGTGCATGCGTGCGTGAGTGTGCGTGAGTGTGCGTGAGTGTGTGTGTGTGTGTGTGTGTGTGTGTGTGTGTGTGGTGTGGGAGTTCATTGTTCTATGACTTAGAACTTTGATCTAGTCTTTTTTCTTTTATGCATTTGAGTGTATTGCCTGCATGCATGTAAGTGCACCTGTGTCGTCTAATGCTCATGGAGGTCAGAAGAGGGTGTCAGATCCCCTGGAACTGGAGTTTTGGGCAGTTGTTAACTGCCATGTAGGTGCGTGTAAGAGCAGTCAGGGCTCTTTACTGCTCAGCCATCTCCCAGCCCCCTTGTCTAATCTTAAGATTGTTTCCAAAAAAATTGATCAAAGAAGAAATGTCAAAACATTTAGACAAATGTTTCTCAATGATGAAGAACTACAAATCAGTGCTTAAAATGATAAAAAATTTAAATTATGGAAGTTTGATGATGATAGGATTATAATACATTAAAAATATTAACAATGGCTATGGTAGCAATATACTAAAATGATGGCTGTCTAAATCTTTTGGCCCATAAATTGTGATAAAAACTGCAAGATATAAATACTAAGATGATATTTCATCCCACCAAAGTATTAATGAGAATTTTGTTGTTTACATTTAAGTAACTGGATTTGGGAATTTTAATATGTAAAACTTAGTAATATTGACTTAATAATACTTGAAAAATTGAAAATAGAGAGTTTTATACCTCTGGCCTCACTGGACTCATCTGAATAAATGAAGGAATAGACTCTATTTGAAGGAAATAGATAGTAAAGAAACATTTACATTTCTCAATAATTTAAGAAATACAGAGTCAGTATGTAGCTTAGTGATAGAGTGCTTGCCTACTCTGTGTGACACTCTAGGTTGATTCCTCAACACTACAGAAAACAAAGATTAAAACCTAAAACTGTGAGTTACAATCTTTGTTAGCTTAAACTAGCAAAAATAAATGGATATGATATAATGAAAGCAAAGGCTTTAAAAAGCAGACGTTGGAGGCTGGCGAGATGGCTCGTCAGGTAAGAACACTAACACACAGGCCTGACTACTTGCGTTCAGTCCCTGGATCCACCAGGTTGCAAGAGAAAGCTAACTCCTGAGAGTTGTTTTCTGACTTCCACACACGCACAATGGTACACATGGACCTGCACATATACACAAACACATATACACTAAAATTAATTAACTACGAAGACAGTGATTACAGAATTACATTATTTTGTAAAGTATTTCTGAATAAATACAGCAAAAGTGTTCTTGGCCAAGTAAGCCAAATACTCAAAAGTTAATCTAAGAAAATAATTGCAAAGACAGAACTAGATATATTAGAAGATGATAATACCCAATACCTTGACTCTTAAGATATAACAACTTTATTTTTCTTT